GGAATAAAGAAGGATTAACTTTAAAAGAATGATTGCCAAATATTTCCAATGTATTGCAATATCTTTAGAAACTGTATAATTTAGGCAAAGATTTACATTTAGGGCATAAGATAAAATGCAACCACAGTAGAGACGGAAAACAGATGATAGTGGATTGCCAATAAATGGGAAGGAAATTAGATGGGAGTATAAGTTGTTATTCATCCACTACCAGATGTTTTACACATATTCCAAAGTAAAATTTCACTCCCATGCTGTGTAACAAACTTTTTTAGTAGTAGAAATCTTTTCAATGTAGCAAAGTATACAATAAGTGGGAGGATCCTTAGGAGCATTGATATAAAAAAGATCTTGGTGTGCAAGTCCATAGATGCCAACACAAGTGGATAAGGTAGTAAAAAAAGTGCACAGCATGCTTGCCTTCTTCGGCTGGGACATTGAGTAAAAAAGTTGGCAAGTTGGAATATTGCAGCTGGATCTCATTGAGTATGAAATACTTGATTGGGGCTGTTAACCCAGGGATCCCTGGCTGACATATATAAACAGGAGATTCAGAGAGTCTCCTCACTCTAGGGATTGGCTCTGAGCTAGCTGGTCAGAGTTCGTATATGATGCATGTGTAAATAAAGAGTTACTTGGTGATGGAATACCAGCTTCTGTGTGATTATTTCACACAGAATGATTATAGCACAAAAAGAGATATTTTGACCTGTTGTGCCAAATGTGGCTTGATGCAAGAGCACTTCAGTTGGTTCTGACCCTTTGACCATGGCTGTGCAAGTTTCTCATTTCCAGGTGCTTATCCAATTGTGTTTTGAATGTCTCTAGTTAATCAGCCACCTCTATTCCTAGACAGTACTACTCCAGATCCTAATTTCTTGCTGCATAAAGAGGGTTTCCCTCATGTCACCACTGGTTATTTTACCAATCACCTTAAATCAGAGTCTTCCAGAGCTGGGCCCTTTAACCATTCCTTTTTCTCGAAACTGCTCCTGGTCCTTTTCCATGACAAATTGGGCAGATCAATGGCAGATGGAATTTAATCCTGATATGTACAAGTTGATGAATTTTGGGAGGTCTAAGGAGATACACAATGAATGATAGATCCCTCTGGACCTTGGTGTACAAGTCCATAGATCCCTGAAAGTGTCAGCACAGGTAGACAGAGTGGTGAAGAAAGCACATGGTCTGCTTGCCTTCATTAGCCGGGCATTAGAATATAGGAGCATGGAAGTCTTGTCACAACGTTATGAAACATTAGTTAGATCACAGATCAAATGCTATGTGCAGCTCTGGTCACCACACTATCAGAAGGAGGTGATTGCACCAGAGAGGGTGAAGAGGAGATTGACCAGGATGTTATCTGGGATGAAAAGTCTCAGTTACGAGAAGAGATTGGATAGGCTGGGTTTGTTTTCCTTGGAGCAGAGGAGGCTGAGGAGGGGGATCTGATTGAAGTACACAGAATTATGAGAGGTATAGACAAAGCAGATTGTGAGAATCTCTTCCCCATGGCAGACATGGCTAAGACCATAGGGCATAAATCTAAGATGTGGAGTAAGTGGTTTAGAAGAAATCTAAGAAAGATTTTTTTTCAGCCAGGGCATGGTAGAAATATGGAACGTGCTCCCTGAGAGAATGGTGGAGGCAGGTACTCTCATGACATTTAAGAAGCTTCAGGATGACTACTTAAAATGCCAGGCACAGGAGGCTTCGGACCAAGTGTGGGTAAATGGAATTAGTGTTGGTTGATGTTTATTGTTGGCATAGCCATGATTGGCAGAAGGGCCTGTTTCTATGCTGTATGACTCTATGACTAAATCTTATGATAATATGATCACTATTCTTAAAAGTTCCTTGATTGCCACTTGATTTACTTGTCCCACCTCATTCTCCTGAACCAGATTGTCATTGTCTGTTTCCTCACTCAGTGGAACAGTGTTGACCCAGAAATATTCAGATACCTCAGCATCTTGGATTCACTGTTGTAGCCACAGAAATATCTGTCTGTTCTCCTAGTTATAGAACTCTGCTATTATGATTCGCTTTCCATAACTCTCCCTGCCCCCTTTGTTGCTGAGCCACAGCTAGTGCCATAGATTTGGCTGTGGTTGCGCTGAAGAGGAGATTGACCAGGATGTTATCTGGGATGAAAAGTCTCAGT